GCTGAGTCTATGTAGTGCTGAGTCTATGGGTAGTGCTGAGTCTATGGGTAGTGCTGAGTCTATGGGCAGTGCTGAGTCTATGGGTAGTGCTTAGTCTATGGGCAGTGCTGAGTCTATGGGTAGTGCTGAGTCTATGGGCAGTGCTGAGTCTATGGGTAGTGCTGAGTCTATGGGTAGTGCTGAGTCTATGGGCAGTGCTGAGTCTATGGGTAGTGCTGAGTCTATGGGTAGTGCTGAGTCTATGGGCAGTGCTGAGTCTATGGGTAGTGCTGAGTCTATGGGTAGTGCTGAGTCTATGGGCAGTGCTGAGTCTATGGGTAGTGCTGAGTCTATGGGTAGTGCTGAGTCTATGGGTAGTGCTGAGTCTATGGGTGGCAGTGCTGAGTCTATGGGTGGCAGTGCTGAGTCTATGGGTGGCAGTGCTGAGTCTATGGACAGTGTTGAGTCTATGGGTGACAGTGCTGAGTCTATGGGCAGTGCTGAGTCTATGGGTGACAGTGCTGAGTCTATGGGTGACAGTGCTGAGTCTATGGGTGGCAGTGCTGAGTCTATGGACAGTGTTGAGTCTATGGGCAGTGCTGAGTCTATGGGTGGCAGTGCTGAGTCTATGGGTGGCAGTGCTGAGTCTATGGGTAGTGCTGAGTCTATGGACAGTGTTGAGTCTATGGGTGACAGTGCTGAGTCTATGGACAGTGTTGAGTCTATGGGTGACAGTGCTGAGTCTATGGACAGTGTTGAGTCTATGGGCAGTGCTGAGTCTATGGGCAGTGCTGAGTCTATGGGCAGTGCTGAGTCTATGGGTGACAGTGCTGAGTCTATGGGCAGTGCTGAGTCTATGGGTAGTGCTGAGTCTATGGACAGTGTTGAGTCTATGGGCAGTGCTGAGTCTATGGGTAGTGCTGAGTCTATGGGCAGTGCTGAGTCTATGGGTAGTGCTGAGTCTATGGGCAGTGCTGAGTCTATGGGTAGTGCTGAGTCTATGGGTAGTGCTGAGTCTATGGGTAGTGCTGAGTCTATGGGCAGTGCTGAGTCTATGGGTAGTGCTGAGTCTATGGGTAGTGCTGAGTCTATGGGCAGTGCTGAGTCTATGGGTAGTGCTGAGTCTATGGGTAGTGCTGAGTCTATGGGCAGTGCTGAGTCTATGGGTAGTGCTGAGTCTATGGGTAGTGCTGAGTCTATGGGTAGTGCTGAGTCTATGGGTGGCAGTGCTGAGTCTATGGGTGGCAGTGCTGAGTCTATGGGTGGCAGTGCTGAGTCTATGGACAGTGTTGAGTCTATGGGTGACAGTGCTGAGTCTATGGGCAGTGCTGAGTCTATGGGTGACAGTGCTGAGTCTATGGGTGACAGTGCTGAGTCTATGGGTGGCAGTGCTGAGTCTATGGACAGTGTTGAGTCTATGGGCAGTGCTGAGTCTATGGGTGGCAGTGCTGAGTCTATGGGTGGCAGTGCTGAGTCTATGGGTAGTGCTGAGTCTATGGACAGTGTTGAGTCTATGGGTGACAGTGCTGAGTCTATGGACAGTGTTGAGTCTATGGGTGACAGTGCTGAGTCTATGGACAGTGTTGAGTCTATGGGCAGTGCTGAGTCTATGGGCAGTGCTGAGTCTATGGGCAGTGCTGAGTCTATGGGTGACAGTGCTGAGTCTATGGGCAGTGCTGAGTCTATGGGTAGTGCTGAGTCTATGGACAGTGTTGAGTCTATGGGCAGTGCTGAGTCTATGGGTAGTGCTGAGTCTATGGGTAGTGCTGAGTCTATGGGTAGTGTTGAGTCTATGGGCAGTGTTGAGTCTATGGGTAGTGTTGAGTCTATGCGGCCGGGTACGGGTAAGGAAAAACATAACTCTGATAATATATGCACTATCAGAGTTATGTTTCGATGTAAAGCTTTCGTGACTGCAGCAGGGATTCATCTTCTTGGTTCTTTCGGTAAAGTCACGTAGAAGGGAAGTAATAAAATAATAAAAATAAAACATAATACAATACAATTCTCACGACGTTTCGGCCACAACGCAAGGCTGCTTGCGTTGTGGCCGAAACGTCGTGAGAATTATTTTATTATGTTTTATTTTTGTTATTTTAGTACTTTTAGTTTAATACGACTTTTATATGATAAACAACTATCACTCATGACAACGATACACACACACATAGTAGAAGAGACAAGGTGATATATTTTAATACGTCTATAATATACACTTGGATTTCACGCCGATGGTTGTACCGATTCGATGCGCGTTAGGTCCTGTACCACACTACGATCCACCAGTAGTACCTACCAATAGTACCCACCACTACTACTACTAGCAGGCACTACTAGTACTAGCACCTCCTACTAACACCACTCCCGGCCGCCTTTGTCTCCCTACCAAAAGCAGTACCTACTAGTAGGTTCAATATTCATCTTCTTGGTTCTTTCGCTAAAGTCGTCACGTAGAAGGGAAGTAATAAAATAATAAAAATAAAACATAAAATAATTCTCACGACGTTTGGGCCACAACGCAAGCAGCCGTCTTCAGGTGAAAGCAGGTCTGTCGAGGCGACAGCGTCTGAATGGATCGAAATAGGTTCAAAATTGATTTGAAGCTTTCGTCACTGCAGTAATCCATATTCTCTTTGGGTATTTCGGTAAAGTCAAGTAGATAGACAAATTACAGTGGTCAACAACAAAAAAAACATGTTTTTCTGGCCTGGACTTTTGCAGCTGTTCTAGACTAATTTCAGGGTGCTGATTCCAAATCTGATCTCAGATTTGCTCTATCACATCTCATTTTTATGCTATCGGCATACTCTGTGTGTGTGCCTGTGTGTGTGTGTGTGCCTGTGTGCGTGTGCATGTGTGTGTGTGCCTGTGTGTGTGTCTGTGTGTGTGCCTGTGTGTGTGCCTGTGTGCTTGCGTGTGTGTGTGCCTGTGTGTGGTGCATGTGTGTGTGCCTGTGTGTGTGTCCCTGTGTGTGTGCCTGTGTGCTTGCGTGTGTGTGTGTGTGTCTGTGTGTGTGCCTGTGTGTGTGTCCCTGTGTGTGTGTCTGTGTGTGTGTGTCTGTGTGTGTGTCTGTGTGTGTGTCTGTGTGTGTGCCTGTGTGCTTGCGTGTGTGTGTGCCTGTGTGTGTGTCTGTGTGTGTCTGTGTGTGTGCCTGTGTGTGTCTGTGTGTGTGCCTGTGTGTGTGCCTGTGTGCTTGCGTGTGTGTGTGCCTGTGTGTGTGTGTCTGTGTGTGTGCCCGTGTGTGTGCCCGTGTGTGTGCCTGTGTGTGTGTGTATCTGTGTGTGCCCGTGTGTGTGTGCCTGTGTGTGGTGCCTGTGTGTCTATCTGTGTGTGTGCCTGTGTGTGGTGCCTGTGTGTCTATCTGTGTGTGTGCCTGTAGGGGGAGTGGTGGGTGTAGTGGTTAGCGCTACGCTGCGCTACAAACCTGTCAACCTGAGTTTGATTCCCGCTCACGGCCGACACCAGCAGTGACGTTTATCTGAAACGGTTCTGGGCGTCCCCTAGGTCGACTCAGCCTCAAATGAGTACCTGGTGCAGTGCTTAAAAAAACGTCTCCACTTGGGAGACAAAGGCGGCCGGGCGTGGTGCTGGCCACCCACCCCCTCGTGTGCCACAGTGCCGGCCTTCATAGGTGCTACTCGCTAACAGCACTTGCCCCTACAGCCTGTTAAGGCTACACGGGGGATCTTTGTCTTTGTGTCTGAGTGTGTGTGTCTGTGCGCCTGTTGTTTGCCGGAGCCAAGAGGCTGAACGCGCCGATTCGTCAATCCGTCCGTCGTTCTCTCTGCCAAATCATCGTTCGCCCGTCTGCCGCGTGTCTCTGTCTGCCGCGTGTCTCTGTCTGCGTGTCTCTGTCCGCGTGTCCGTCCGTCCGTCGACCTTGGCCTCATCTAATCCGCTAAATCCATCCGTCCACGCACCCTCATCCCCCTCCAATATCATCACCCCCCCCCACCACCCCCACCACCCCCACCACCACCGCCACCATTGTTACCACCAACATTTCCCTTCCGCTTACTCCTCCTTCTGCCCCTCCTCCTCCTCCTACCGCTTCTCCACAGGTCGCAAACAGGGCTTGATTCCTTACCCGTACCCGGCCGCACCAGGGTCGCAAACGGGTACCCGTTCCCGTACCTGGCCGGGTACGGGTATCGGGTACCCGGTTGTGACCTCTGCCCTCCTACCCCTCCTCCCTCCCACCCCTCCTCCAGAGGTCGCAACCGGGCAGTGGCGGCTCCTGCAAAATCTCTTAGGGGGGGCAAATGTCTGGATGATTGATAAGGATAAGGTCCACCCATGCAAAGGATAAATTAACAGCTTAAGCATGTACAGGCAACTTCACTTCTTTAATAGTAATGAAAAATAAAGTGACTCTTACAATACATCTTGTTTGTTTCTATACTCACTATTAATACAAACCACTCAAGTGTCTTTTATTAAAGATTCCACTAGGTGGCGACAAATTATATTGTTGGATGAAACGTGCTTACGTATGATGACGTAAGCACGTTAGGGCGAGCCCTCCCGGAAGCCATAGAGAATGCATTGGAGCGCCCCCCGTTCGAAAAAAAACATCTTTGAATGTAAGTCTATGGGAACACTCTGGGCGATTCTTAGCCGGAGTGAAATCGCCCAAAAAGAGGCGGTACTCCACAGAACGTAGCATGACGCTGATTGGACTATACCCAGAGGCTGCAGTGACGGCTAGCGTGACTCTGTGGTTCAATGACATTGGTGGTGCGTCGCCCAATCGCCCTAATGAAGAAACCGCCCCTGCAACCGGGTACCCGATACCCGGCTACCCGTTTGTGACCCTGGTGCGGCCGGGTACGGGTAAGGAATCAAAATCCGTTTGCGACCTCTGCCCTCCTCCTACCCCTCCCTCCCCCTTCTGCCCCCTTCTCCTCCCTCCCTCCCCCTCCTCCTCCTCCCTCTCCTCCTCCTCCTCCCTCTCCTCCTCCCTCCCCCTCTTCCTCATACCCCTCCTACCCCCTCCTCCTCTCCCCTGCCCCCCTGCCCCCTCACAGGGGGAACACCATGAACGCGGTGAAGGCAGCGTGCACGTGCTCCGCCGCGTACAGCGCCGCCGCCTCCTCCGAGGGGATCTGCAGCCAGAGGCGGTCGCCCGCCACCAGAGGCAGAGCCACGGCTCCCGACGCGTGGTCGACCATCCCTCCTCCACCACCTCCTCCACCTCCTCCACCTCCGCTGCCGTTCCTGCCGTTCCCTCCCCCATCGTCGCCTCCTCCTCCGGCGGCCCCACCGCCACCGCCGTCCCCGTCGTCGTAGGTGAAGAGGACGGGCTCCCCGTTGCGGACGAGCGCCACCCAGGCGCGGCTGCCCCGCACGTGGAAGCTGAAGGAGACGTAGTAGAGGCCCCCGGCGGGGCTCGTGAACACGCCGCTCGGAACGTCGTAGGCGCCCTCGCCGTTGTAGAAGACCTCGTCGAAGACGATCGGAGTCCCCGCCGGCGGGTACGCCTCCGACAGGCGCACCGAGAAAGCCGCCCGGGTCGCCGTCTGCGGCTGCTGCTGCGGTATCTGCTGGTGCTGCTGCTGGTGCTGCTGCTGGTGCTGCTGCTGGTGAGTGTGAAACTGGACCTGCATCTGCTGCTGCTGCTGCTGTTGCTGTTGCTGCTGCTGCATCTGCTGCTGCTGCTGCTGCTCGGGGAAGGGAGCGAATGGCAGCACGGGAACCTTGACGGCGCTCATGTAGTGGTGGTGGTGCACGTGGTGCTCCTTGACGCCCACCATCTTCTTCGCCGCGACGGGGAACTTGACGACTCCGCCGGGCGGCGCGTCCGGAGGGCCGCGGGAAGAGGAGGCGGCGGGCTCCGGCCGGTAGGCCACGCCGACTCCGACCGACGGGCCCAGGTCGGCCTCCCCGTCGAAGCCGCCGCCCGGCCGCAGGGGCATCGTCCGCCCCTGGAGGTCGCCCAGGAGTTCGCGGTCGCCGGGCGGCGGCGGCGGCCCGTGTGCCGCGGGCGGTCCCGGGGGGCCGGGCGGCCCCGGCGGACCGGGGGCGCCGACGGGGCCTCCGTCCCGAGGGCCGCACTCGCACGACCCCGGCAAGCCCGGCGAGCCGGCGTGCCCCTTGCTGCCGGGCCACCCCTTGGGGCCGCGCTCGCCCCGGGGCCCGCCGGGGCCCGCCGGGCCCACGGGACCAGCGGGGCCCACGGGACCCGCGTCCCCCGCGGGGCCCGGCCCGCCGGCCTCCCCGGCGGGGCCGCGATCGCCGGGCGCGCCGTCCCCGCCCGGAGCTCCGACGGGGCCCCCTTCGCCCGGCGGTCCGCGTGGGCCAGGGGCCCCCCGCTCTCCGGCGAGGCCGTCGACCCCGGGCAACCCCGGCCGCCCCTCCGGCCCCGGCTCCCCCTTGGGCCCCACGTGACCCTCGGGGCCCTGGGGGCCGGGCGGCCCGGACTCGCCGCGGCCGCCCTTCGCGCCGAGCGGGAGCCTGCCGGGCAGGCCCGGCTTCCCCTGCAGCCCCCGGTGGCCCTTCTCCCCCGGCCGCCCCGGGGCCCCGTCCCTGCCCGGGCTGCCCATCCCGGGGAGGCCCAGCGGCCCCGGCAGGCCGGGCTGCCCCGGGGGCCCGCGGCTCCCCGGCTCCCCCTTGGCGCCGGGCGGGCCCCCGGGCCCCTCGGCCCCGTCCACGCCGGCGCTCCCCGGGACTCCGATGCCCGGGGGCCCCGCCTCGCCGGGGGGGCCCCGCGGGCCCGGGGACCCCTCCCCCCCGTCCCCCCCCGTCCCCCTTGTCGCCCTTGGGCCCCGGCAGGCCCTGGGGGCCCTGGTGGCCCTTGGGGCCGGGGGTCCCGGCGCGTCCCGGGACTCCGGCGGGACCTTTGTGGCCGGCTACCCCGGGAGGTCCGGCGAGACCCGGGTGTCCGCGGCTCCCCGGCGAGGGGAGCCCGGGGCTCCCGGGGGCCCCTGGGGGGCCCGTGGGGCCCGGGGGGCCGGCCTCGCCCACTCCCGGCAGGCCCGGGTGGCCGGGGGGGCCCTTCAAGCCGCGCGGGCCGGGCTGCAGCACCACCGGAACTTCTGTGGAGGGAGGAGAGCACAGGGGCGGTGGTGGTGGTGGTGGTGTTAAGGGTTGGTGATGGCGGTGGTGGTGGTGGTGGTGTTAAGGGTTGGTGGTGGTGGTGGTGGTGATGGTTGTGCTGCTGGTGGTGGTAATGAAAATCTTATCCAAATGGTGATCATGGTGATGGTGGTTGTAGTGGTGGTGTTCGGGGTTGTTGTGGTGGTGCCGGAGTTAGCGCGGTGGTGATAGTGATAGTAGTGGTGATGATAGTGATGATGATAGTGATAGTAGTGGTGATGATAGTGATGATGATAGTGATAGTAATGGTGATGGTGGTGGTGATGATAGTGATGATGATAGTGATAGTAGTGGTGATGATAGTGATGATGATAGTGATAGTAATGGTGATGGTGGTGGTGATGATAGTGATGATGCTGGTGATGGTGGTAATAGTGACAATGAAAGTGATAGTAGCGGTGGTGATAGTGATGATAGTAGTGGTGATGGTGATAATGATAACAGTGATGATGGTGGTGATAGTGATGGTGGTGGTGATAGTGATAGTAGTGGTGATGGTGATAATGATAACAGTGATGATGGTACTGATAGTGATGGTAGTGGTGACAGTGGTGGTGACATTGATGACACTGCTGCTGATGCCGATGATGATGCTCCATCGACACCGAACCACCGACGGCCATCGTCCTCACCGATCCACTTCTCCTTGACTTTACCCTTCACCGGCGGGCGGGGGCCCACCCCGCCCGCCCCCACCACCCCCACTCCCGCGTACGTCGCCTGCTTCACGAACGTCTGGGGGGCCCTCCCGCCCCCCGCCACGGAGAACTGCGACTGGACTCCGGCGGAGGAGGAGGAGGAGAGCACAGGGCCGGAGGCGGCGTCCGGGTAGTAGCTGGAGCTCGCGGTCGCCACCAGGAAGGCAAAGATGGCGGCCGAGCGGAGCGCTGATGGCGGCGACATCGCGACCTGAGGGGAGACGGGGGAGAGGTTGAGGGTCAATGACAGAGGTCGCAAGCGGGTACCCGATACCCGTACCTGATACCTGGCTACCTGTACCAGATACCCGTACCCTACCAGATACCCGTACCCTACCCGATACCCGTACCCTACCCGATACCCGTACCCTACCCGATACCCGTACCCTACCCGATACCCGTACCCTACCCGTACCCTACCCGATACCCGTACCCTACCCAATACCCATACCCTACCCGATACCCGTACCCTACCCGATACCCGTACCCTACCCGTACCCTACCCGATACCCGTACCCTACCCAATACCTGTACCTTACCAGATACCCGTACCCTACCCGATACCCGTACCCTACCCGATACCCGGCTACCCGTACCCGGCCGGGTATGGGTAGGCGTTAGCGACCCTGGTGCGGCCGGGTACGGGTAGGCCGTGAGTCACTGGTGAGTCACCGTTTGTCACTCATTTCCCAACGTCTTGTCTCTTCTCACAATTCAAGTTCCTAGAAACAACCCACCCACGCCTGCAACATGGCTTCATCACAGAGGTCGCAATCAGGTACCCGATACCCGTACCCTACCCGATACCCAGCTACCTGTACCCGGCTGGGTACGGGTACCCATTTCCGACCCTGGTGCGGCCGGGTACGGGTAGGCCGTGAGTCACTGGTGAGTCACCATTTGTCGCTCATTTCGGGTAGGGTACGGGTAGGGAACACGCATCATGTACGTTGACTCAGAGATTGCCCCCCCCCCCCCCCCCCCCACTTTGCACAAGAACGCAGAAGTGTGGTCACCACACTTCTGCGCTGTTGAGTCTATGGACAGTGTTGAGTCTATAGGTGGCAGTGTTGAGTCTACAGGTGGCAGTGTTAAGTCTATGGGTGGCAGTGTTGAGTCTATGGGCAGTGTTGAGTCTATGGGCAGTGTTGAGTCTATAGGTGGCAGTGTTAAGTCTATGGGTGGCAGTGTTGAGTCTATGTGCAGTGTTGAGTCTATGGGTAGTGTTAGTCTATAGGTGGCAGTGTTGAGTCTATGGGCAGTGTTGAGTCTATAGGTGGCAGTGTTAAGTCTATGGGTGGCAGTGTTGAGTCTATGGGCAGTGTTGAGTCTATGGGCAGTGTTGAGTCTATAGGTGGCAGTGTTAAGTCTATGGGTGGCAGTGTTGAGTCTATGGGCAGTGTTGAGTCTATGGGTAGTGTTAGTCTATAGGTGGCAGTGTTGAGTCTATGGGCAGTGTTGAGTCTATGGGCAGTGTTGAGTCTATAGGTGGCAGTGTTGAGTCTATGGGCAGTGTTGAGTCTATGGCAGTGTTGAGTCTATGGGTGGCAGTGCTGGGTCTATGGGTGGCAGTGTTAGGTATATAGGCAGTGTTGAGTCTATGGCAGTGTTGAGTCTATGGCAGTTTTGAGTCTATGGGCAGTGTTCAGTCTATGGACAGTGTTGAGTCTATGGCAGTGTTGAGTCTATGGGCATTGTTAGTCTATGGGTGGCAGTGTTGAGTCTATGGGCAGTGTTGAGTCTATGGCAGTGTTGAGTTTATGGGTGGCAGTGTTGAGTCTATGGCAGTGTTCAGTCTATGGGCAGTGTTGAGTCTATGAGTGGCAGTGTTGAGTCTATGGCAGTGTTGAGTCTATGGCAGTGTTGAGTCTATGGGCAGTGTTGAGTCTATGGACAGTGTTGAGTCTATGAGTGGCAGTGTTGAGTCTATGGCAGTGTTGAGTCTATGGCAGTGTTGAGTCTATGGGCAGTGTTGAGTCTATGGACAGTGTTGAGTCTATGGGTAGTGTTGAGTCTATGGGCAGTGTTGAGTCTATGGGCAGTGTTGAGTCTATGGGCAGTGTTAGTCTAAGCAGTGTTGAGTCTATGGCAGTGTTGAGTCTATGGGCAGTGTTGAGTCTATGGGCAGTGTTGAGTCTATGGGTGGCAGTATTGAGTCTATGGGTGGCAGTGTTGAGTCTATAGGCAGTGTTGAGTCTATGGCAGTGTTGAGTCTATGGGCAGTGTTGAGTCTATGGGCAGTGTTGAGTCTATGGGCAGTGTTGAGTCTATGGCAGTGTTGAGTCTATAGGTGGCAGTGTTGAGTTGATGGGTGGCAGTGTTGAGTCTATTGGTGGCAGTGTTGAGTCTATGGGTGGCAGTGTTGAGTCTATTGGTGGCAGTGTTGAGTCTATGGGTGGCAGTGTTGAGTCTATAGGCAGTGTTGAGTCTATGGCAGTGTTAAGTCTATGGGCAGTGTTCAGTCTATGGGAGTCTGAGACCAGGAATGGCACCGGGCAGAGATGATCTCCCAAGCGAAATGCTGAGGGAGGGTGGCGTTTGTGCACAGACTGCCCTACATGACATCATAACAACAGTCTGGGCCACTGGACGGGTTCCGCAGGACTGGAAGGGGGACCGCACAGACTGTAACAACTACAGGGGCATCTCACTCCTCAATGTGCCGGGAAAGGTCCTGCCAATTATTATTCAACATCGCCTTGCCAGACACGCTAGGAGAGGCTTGCGGAGCCCCAATGTGGTTTCAGGAAAGGGCGGTCCTGCACAGGTGCCATATTTTCTGTCCGTCTGCTAGAGGAGAGGTGTAGGGCATTTCAACAAGACCTACATCTCTGCTTTATACTGGTAGGAACCTCCTGGTTACACCAGCCCACAGGGGATTATTGTGTCCGTCGTGCAGGGAGGGGCTGGGTGGGGAGGGAGGGGCTGGGTGAGGAGGGTGGGGAGAGGCTGGGTGGGGAGGGTGGGGCTGGGTGTTTAGGGGAGGGTGGGAAGGGCTGGGTGGGGCTGGGTGGGGAGAGGCTGGTGCCCTTATAAAACTCAACGTTTCACCTACTCACGCCGGCTTGTGCCCGCCCTCACAGTCGGGCATATTTGCGGAATACACCACGCTGCCGTTGACCCTGCAGGCCATTGACCGAGCGACCCAACGTTCCTACCAGCTCCTTTTGCAGGAATGTGTTGAGCTGGTCAAGGCCTAAACACCATCAGTAGGCCTGGGCTCTGGGTTGTTCTTCGTGCTTTCGGAGTCCCTGACCCTCTGCTCACGATCATTAAGGACCTTCATCATGGTGAGCGGGCCCGGGTAAAACTACGTGGCCGGGAGTCGGAGCCTTTCCCTGTACACCTTGGGGTGCGACAAGGATGTCCTCTGGCTCCCACATTATTTAACATCTATTTCGACCACGTAGTTCGTGAAGCCTTCGATTGCTGTACTGAAGGAATTTCCATCTTGTACAGATACAATGGGAGGCTGATCGATGCCCGGGTGCGGTCAAGGGATGGCTCCCTATTGCTCAAGCATGTTATGTATACCGATGATCTGGTAATAGCTGCTCATTCAGAAGAGGAGTTGGAGACGCTGCTGCTGAGACTGGAGCGTGCCACCAAGAGGTGGGGCCTTACCATCAGCCCCACCAAAACTAAGCACCTGCCTGGGTATTTTGTACCATCGGACACTCCACTCCCACAACTCCCATTTGATGATGGGGCAGTTGTGGAGAGAGTGGAGAGTTTCCCATACCTGGGCAGTGTGCTCATGACCGGCTCCGGTTTAACAGCAGAGGTCTCACTCCGAATCAGTCGAGCGGCAATATCTTTTCATCGGTTGCGTAACGCTGTGTGGAAGCTACCTGGTCTGTCGCTCCGCGCGAAGCTTCAGGTCTTCTCGGCCACAGTCATTCCCTCCCTTCTCTACGCTTCGCGAAACGTGGACCCCCCTAATGGAACATCTTCGCCTGGGGTTTAACCTGCAGGCTGGATTGTGTGAGGAGCTCACAAATCATTGAGAGATATGGAAAAAGTCCCATCGGTGAGCTCCTCCATCAGGAAAGACTGCATTGGCTGGGTCATGTAGCCCGCATGCCCAGCCACCGCATGCCTAAACAGCTTTTGTTCGGCCGGATCGAGGGGGCTAAATGGGCGCGGCACGGGCTAGAGAAGAGATGGAGTGACGTGGTACAGGAGGACGTGGAGCTGAGTGGACTTGCCGATGACTGGTACTAGCGGTGTCAAGATCGGCCTCTGTGGAGGAGGCTCGTGAAGGACGCTACTGGGCAGTTGGAGGCAGTCGCCCTCCAACAACAACGGAGGGCGGAGGAGCGACACTCACAACAACGAGCGGAACGCCGTGTGGCTAAAGCACAGCAAGTTGGCACAGTAGGAGGCACAGGTGGTGCATCGGCCACTCATCTCAGTCAGTCGACCCGTGGCAACTGGGTCTGCCCCGTGACCTCCTGCCAGCGGGCGTTCGACACTTCACGTGGCCTCAAGGTGCACATGGCCTGGCACAAGCGCCGTGGTGACGTCACCGCCACTTAGTGGTGAATGGCGGTTGTTGTGTGGTGTGTCTGTGTGCAACTCTTATATAAGTGTGTGTATGGGTGTATGTGTGCATTTCTGTGTAACTATGCGTCTCTCTGTAACTCTGTATACATGTTGATGTGTGTGTGTGTTCACGTGTGTATACACCTGTGTGTGTGTGGGGGGGGGGGTTCATTCGCACACAGGCAGACCACTCGCCGTTCATATTTGGCTAAATGGAAATGTCAACACGGCACAACCAAAACCAATATTTGTCTCGGTGTCGGCTCCCGGCGCGAGACGGAGCGAGCGGTTTTACGCATTTCTGTTTGGGCTGGGAGCACAAGCCCGCCGGATCGATTCCAGGCCAAGGATAACATCGAAATAAAACTTAAATACATTTTTGAGTTCGCCCGTCGTAGAGGCACCCGCTGAGGCTGCTGCTGCTGCTGCCTGGATCTTTGATCAGAAGTGACCGTTGTCACGGAAGCTCAAACACGTGGCAGATATCGTGACGTAGATATTGACAAACGTGTGTTTCTACACACTCGGAGAGAGACCCATAGACACCCAGAGAGCCATAGAGACACACAGAGACATCGACAGACCCACAGAGACCCACACAGACCCACACAGACCCATACTCATAGAGACCCACAGAGACCCATACTCATAGAGACCCATAGAGACCCACAGAGACCCATACTCATAGAGACCCATAGAGACCCACAGAGACCCATACTCATAGAGACCCACAGACACCCACAGAGACCCATACTCATAGAGACCCACAGACACCCACAG